ATTTTTTTTAGGTGCACTCCCATTCCATTGTAGAATCTCGTAGTCCAAGTTACTAATAAAAGTATATCAATTCTTTGCCCATACCCTTCCGCTACTATCTCTGATACTTTTACACATCTTGACCGTTTTTGCCCACCTCCCTTAGCTTGCTTTTTACAGCCGTTTAGTCATTCCCATCACAATAGCTTGTTGCCATTAGACATTAGCTCAACTACGATCCCAAACATAGCCTGTACCATAGCCCTTTAGTCATATCCCATCAATAAAGCCTACTTGAATCATCCTACGAAAGACGTTTCTCAAATCCATAACCATGACGATACCATGTACATTATAAAGACCAAACTACAGATGAGTAGCTCATCATTGACAAATCCTAAAACACCACTGGTTTACTAGTTGTAATAAATCTAATGACATGTACATGATCGTAAGGTCTATCTGCGCATACATACAAAGTTTTATTGGTACAATGGGATTGATAGGCTATGGTACAGACTATGTTTGAGGCTGGAGTTAAGCTAATGTGTAAATGGCGACGGGTTGTAATGAGAATGACTAAGCTACAGTAAAAATCAAGCAAATGGAGGTAGACAAAAACGGTCAAGCTGTGTAAAAGTATCAGTGATAGTAGCGGAAGGGTATGGGCAAAGAATTGATATACTTTTATTGATAACTTGGACTACTAGATTCTACAATGGAATGGGAGTGCACCTAAAAAAAATTTGCGAGGGTTTCCCCATGTTTTTTACATTTGAAAATTTCAAAAGTGCCTTTTTGAGCGACATGAAGCAGTGGTGGAGTCGTCATTAGCATCGTCGTCGTTCCTATTGCCGTCGTCATCGTCGTAGCCGATCTAGTGTCAAAAGAAAGAGGAACGATGCAAAAGGCAAAAAGTTAGTAATGGTAAGCAAAAGATGAACATGACGTGAGAAGAGGAGAGTTACCGTTCGTTCGTTCGTTCGCTCGTCCGTCCGTTCGTTTGACGTCGTGGAGTAAAGAGAATGACAATGGAGGCAAAAAAGTATTGACGAGGGGAAGAAGGAGCAGAATAATAGTCTAAGAAGAGATTTTTATTAAGTCGGAACTTAAATGGACCTTGAAGCACTGGGACTGTGAGTCAAATCTGCTACGCCCGGGGTCGGAGTGAGTGAGTGCTGGAAAAACTGAATGAAGGAAGCATACAAGAAATCATCAAGACGAGCTGAAGGGTGATGAGGGGAGGGTGTCAGAGGAGGGGGGGCCAGGAAAGAGTGCGTTGGGGGCACCAACCGATCAGACCACACCAGGGTGAAGAAGAATTCAAGCGGCGTCAAACCTTAAGCAGGAAAACCGGACACAAGAGGAGCTGTCGAGGTCAAGTCGAGGGGGGGAGAGAGGGCTGTGGGATTCGAACCCACGCCTTCACAGCGCCAGAGTGCAGCCTAGACCACTACACTACCCCCAAACCCCCAGCAGAATAATAGGGCGGGCAAAAAAATAATCTTATAGCCGATCGGGGGTTGAAATCTGGAGTGCATGGCATTGTTGAAGAAGTGTGTGGGCAGGATCGTGTTCCTGAGCTTCAATTTGCAGCATATCCCTAACATATCAGAGCGAACATGCTACTACATTCTTATGTAATGATGTGGACTCACAAATAGGCTGGATCAGAGAAGATTGAATGTTGCCAAATGGGATAGCATGGGTGGAGTTCCATCATGGGCACCGGGTCTTGTATA